GTTTGAAGTTCCTTGATTTTACTTAATATATAGATATATAACTTATTGAGGATCGAAAACACATGCTATTTGACAGGTATCATATGAACAATTAAAATTAGGTCTGTTAATGATTTACGTTATATATATCAATTAGTTGTCTTGCAGAGGATGAAATTACATATCTTTCTAATAACACGTGTTATAACATATATTGTTCAATAGACTGACAAATTCATAATCAATTACAAGACAATTGATTCATGCTAGTGAGCACACCGTATTAAGGTTCTGAAAAATAAATATGTGCAACATACGATAAAATGCAAATTTTGTCTATACATTCCTTAATATCTTCATTTTACACAACCAATAAATCTTTAAAACACTAATTATATGATGAGTTAAAAATATTTTGAGGAACATTTATTCTTAAGCATAGTAACTGTTCTATCTTTACAGTGGACTTATCTTTTTGTTTTACTACCGTAACGTTAACGTGTATACACAATGTTAAGAGACACCTGCAAAGTTTAAGCAGACATACAAACCCTGATTTTGGATAAGCTGCTGCTGATAAGCTAAAAGAGAATACATCCTTAATTAAAAGCAGTAAACATTCTTTGAAAAAAATACAACTTTTTTCTAGTTTGCGTCCGAATTCAATATTATACGTTTATCGACTGAGTTCGAGAGCAACATATGCGTTTTGTTGGGCTCAAGAACCAAACTGTTTGCCCGAGTCTTAGCCCGAAGGCAAACAGTTTGGTTCGATAGGTCGACAAAACGCATTTTTCCCGGGAATATAGTCAAAAAATGTTTTGTTATACCTTTTTACTTTTTTTATTTTGATATCTTGCGATGGCTTCCATGTTTACGAGATATAGCTGATTCCGCCTACAGTGTGACGTAAAAAATGTCATAGCGGTCCATGTATGTCATCGACATTGATTATTTTTGGACCTCTCTGTAAAACGTTGGACTTTTTTTTTTTTACTTTTTTTAGTATAAATTTATATAGGAAGCAATTTTTAAAGGTATAACAAAACTTAGTACTTGGGTATTACATGTATACACCAAGACACACGTTATATGTCGATTTAGAATTCCGATGAAACGGTGTTGCAATGTACACCAAATACCGAATAATGAGAAGGATTCTTTCAAAACTTTTCTCTTCATATGTACACTTCTGAATTCAATAAAAATAAGTATCATGTATACAAAACAAATACTCAGAATTCAACTGTTTTGTGTTGCCATAGCTAGAATAACTAGAGTGTTCCAAGGAAACACACGTTTCGCCTGCTTTATAGCATTATTAAAGATAACAATCGAAGGGTGGTCAGTTACAGGCACGGATTCAGGAATTTTTTTTTCAAGGGGGGGGGGGGGTCAGATACAGGTACATGTATTGTTGTATAAAAATTTGTTGATAACATTCGATTATTCAAGATTTTATAGAAGTGTGACATGACTTTTGGGTCAACCCTTGTATTGACTTGTATTAATATTTATCTAAAGAATCAATTTTGTTAGTAAAGATAGTGCTATTCTTCTTATATTTTTGGACTCTTTTGTACATGTACAACGTGATACGTATAAAAAGAGGAGCAAGATAAAAGATTCTACGAATATCAGAGGTTTTATTTTATGAACAGGGTTGTCATTGTTACTAAAAGCTAGTAGTAAGTAGAATATTTGTTACAGTGTATTCTTTCAAAATGTCATTCTTAAAGTTTCCACCTAAATTGAATAAAAACTTATATTAGGAAGAATATGAACAATAATGATTTTGAATTCCAAGGAGCAGTGTTGGCTATAAAAAAATTAATCTGTTGAATATTTTAATGCTGCTTGTAGAATAATTTTCACATGCTTTTGAATGAAACAAAATTGTCCATGAACACATGTATATTCAACAAGATGTGTTTGTGAAACACTGATGCCCCCGTATAGCAACTTATAGCAAAGGTTAAACTTTCTCAAATGCAAATCAAATATGTTGGTATCCAAAGTAAGTTCTTGTCCCGAGGAATATACCTGTGAAATATGAAAGCCCTAGAAGCAACCATTTAAAAGATATGGAAAAGGTAAAAAAAAAATTCAAAGGTAAGTCAAACATCAAGGTCAAGGTCAAATGGTCAAAATTAATGGTGCCCAAGTAAAAGCCTTCGCACAAGAAATACACATGTGAAATATTAAAGCCCTAGCACCAACCGTTCAAAAGATATGAACACGTTTAAAGTTTATCAAAAGTAGGTCAAACTCAAAGGTCAAGGTCAAAGTTGTTGGTATTCAAAGGAAGGTCTTGTCACAAGGATTACATATGTGAAGTATGAAAGCCGTAGCACCAACCGTTCAAAAGTTATGGCCAAGGTTAAAGTTTTACAAATGTAGGTCAAACTCCTAGGTCAAGGTCAAAGGGTTAAAGTTGTTGGTATCCAAAGAAAGGACTTGTCACAAGGATTACACATGTGAAATATGAAAGCCATAGCACCGACTATTCAAAAGTTATGGCCAAGGTTAAAGTTGGGTAAAACTGGGTCAAACTCCAAGGTCAGGGTCAAAAGGTTCCCAAAGAAAGGTCTTGTCACAAGGAATACACATGTGAAATATGAAAGCCATAGCTTTAACCAATCAAAAGTTATGGGCAATGTTAAAGTTTCTGCGGACAAACAGATAAACAGACAGACAGACAGACAGACGGACGGACAGGGCAAAAACTATATACCCCCGAATCTTCGATACGGGGGCATAAAAATAAATTCTGAAAAATTGCTTTGTTCGTAATTTATAGTTGAAAATCTGGAGCTCACCGATTTGAAAAAAAAAACAAGATGTGTTTGTGAAACACTGATGCCCCCATATGGCAACTTATAGCAAAGGTTAAACTTTCTCAAATGCAAATCTAATAAGTTGGTACCCAAAGTAAGGTCTTGTCTCGAGGAATATACCTGTGAAATATGAGAAATATGAGAGCCCTAGCAGCAACCATTGAATAGATATGGAAAAGGTTAAAGTTTTTCAAAAGTAATTCAAACATCAAGGTCAAGGTCAAATGGTAAAAAATAATGGTGCCTAAGGAAAGGCCTTCTCACAAGAAATATACTGGTGAAATATGAAAGCTGAAGCACCAATCGTTCAAAAATTATGACCAAGGTTTAAGTTTTCCAAAAGTAGGTCAAACTCCAAGGTCAAGGTCAATGGATTGCAATTGTTGGTATCCAAAGGAAGGTCTTGTCACAAGGATTACATATGTGAGGTATGAAAGCTCTAGCTCCAACGATTCACAAGTTATGGCCAATGTTAAAGTTTTTCAAAAGTAGGTCAAACTCCAAGGTCAAAGGGTCAAAGTTTTTGGTATCCAAAGGAAGGACTTGTTACAAAAATTACATATGTGAAGTATGAAAGCCTTAGCACCAACCGTTCAAAAGTTATGGCCAATGTTAAAGTTTTTCAAAAGTAGGTCGAACTCCAAGCTCAAGGTCAAAGGGTCAACATTGTTGGTATCCAAAGGAAGGTCTTTTCACAAGGATTACACATGTGAAGTATGAAAGCCCTAGCTCCACCTGTTCACAAGTTATGGCCAAGGTTAAAGTTGGGTAAAATTTTGTAAAACTAGGTCAAACTCCAAGGTCAAGGTCAAATATGGTGGTACCCAAAGAAAGGTCTTGTCACAAGAATATGAAAGCCATAGCTCCAACCAATCAAAAGTTATGGGCAATGTTAAAGTTTTTGCGGACAAACAGATACACAAACAGCTAGACAGACAGACGGACGGACAGGGCAAAAACTATATACCCCCGAATCTTCGATACGGGGGCATAAAAAAAAGATTTGACGACCAGAGAGCTAGAGTTTTGCATTCATACAACTGTGTAATTTATTGCGCACAAACAACACACGGTTTGAGAGTTATTATAAATTTATATAAACCGTTTGTTCCTAACGTACGTAATCATTTACTACTTCCACAACAAATCATTCAAAAAAAAAAAAAAAACATCGGGTATAGCTCTTCTTGCCCAGAATTTATTCCAGTGAAAATTTTTGCTTGATTATAGTGCCATTTCGGGTGGCATGACCAACTATATATCCTTTCGCAAGTTTAGATATTAATTAAGACAAATATGAAGAGAAAATGAAGTACGCCGTAAAATTTTCTTAGGAAATGAATACAGCGTTGGTTTGTTTAAACAGCATAAGTTTTTAGGAATGGGATTCTGCTATTTGCATGTATATATCGGGTCTCTGCTGAGTTCAACCAAAGTGACGTGACTTGCTTCAGCTGTTTGTCACGTGACAGGTTTAAAATAGAAAAAAAAGACAGAGGATGCTTTCTCCTCCTCTAACTCTTGTTTCCAGCATGCAGGGATGCGTGTTTATTGCCCCGTGCACCAGATTGCTGTCGGGTATCTTCATCTTTTTTATTATGTTTTCAAAGAGTATTTGATTTAAATGTTTTTCAATCAGCTGAAAGTAACTTAATTGTGAAAATTATAATTCGATCGCAACTTCTTTTGAAATGTTAGCAGTGATTCTTGCATGCACAGAAAGCTTCGTAAAACTTAATAATTATTACTTTGACCATTTTTCAATAAATTAAAATTATGAATGAATGTATTTAGCTTTCAGAGATGAAATGAATGTATTTAGCTTTCATAGATGAGAGTTCAAGCCTCAAGTTCACTCTTCCATGGCCCCAGATCCCACCTTTGATGTTTTAGAGGTCCGTGTTTGCTCTGCTCCAAAAGTAAATGTTTAATGGACTTTTGAGCTCGAATACTGTTCGTTATCTCATGCTTCAATTTTTTTTTATCAAGTAACTCTCTTTTTTGCTACCCAAAATCAGTGGACAGATTATAAATTTGCAAGATAGCAAATTCTTATTCTTGGATACAAATGCATTCAAACCCAGACTACGTCTATTCTTTTAATAACAAATCTAACACCTTCATACGGAAGGATTAGAGCAAATAAACTTAAATATTGGATTTTAGATGACTCACTGCATTTATAACTACTCTTTTCAAGGGCTTCTAAATGAACACTTCACACAATATTATAGGATATTTCTGCACTTAAAGAAAAAGTATCTTATGAAAACTTTACATTTGATCTGTGTTCACAAACAAACGGTAATAAAAGACCCCCTCTGTCAGTAAAGTAAGAATAATCTTTCTCAGGAACCCAGCTCCACTGTCTATAATCATATGACAGTAATAACCCAAACGCTTCAGGGACGTCGTACTTCCAGTATTTTTCTTTGTAGTATGCATAAAGTTTCCCAGGATTCCAGTTTGTGTATGTGACGGTGGTGTTGTCATGGAATCTAAATTTTCCAGGATAATCTTGATTTAAGTAGCTAACTCGAACATAGAATACATCATCCAGATCTAGATCGTCCTCTGTAAATAAATGTATATCTGTTGACAGTTGTGATTTTAAGTAATCTCCTTTTCCTCTTGCTGATTGTGTTACATAAGAGAAATTTAAAGACATTTTTCAGATTAATTACTTTATCTAAAAATGATTACCTGGATGCACGTGTCTGATTCCTAAATTAAGTCCGTACCCCGATCCGTACCACACAAGTAACTCTGTATTCGGCTTCACGACTTCTGTGGTCATGTAAAACACTAAACCATCACAGAACACGGGATAGACGTTTTCTTCTTTAGAATTTCTTGCACAGTTGACATATCGTAGCCAGTTGCTTTTGGCTGGAGAGGCTGCGTCCACCAAATGCATCGTTGTGTCTTCATCGTCTAAGTAAATCTATTGAAAGAAATTATATAAGATTAAATACACATATAATAATCGAATTCTGTAACTAATAATATGTACTGTTTCATCTAAAGTTATTTCATGATAATAATCTGATCTTAACTTCAAATATACTGAATTATATACTGAGTCAAAAACTTAGAAATCAATCTTTTTAGTATATTGATAGCAAAAGTTACAAATTCCTGGTGTTCTGTGTTCTCTGTGTAATTTCGTATCATGATCGGATACTGTAATAGCAGTTTTCATTGCTTGACTTAAAAAGTACATACACTCCATGCATACAAAACATCACCATTGTTTTCCAACAACTCTTCCCCTTCGTAGATCCCTATCACTTTATAAATGGGGATCTGGGTTTCTGCCCATGCCCCAAGGCCTGCGTCGGGAATACTGGACAGCTTGATGGAGAAACCTGCAGGTGTTGTTAAGTTGGCACGGTCATTTTCATCAAATTCCACAGGAATCTGAATAAAAAGCAGTTAGTAAATTAGATATATGTTATATGGCCCTTAACTTTGCGTTTATTTCGTTCCAGTTTTTTTTCGCCAGTTATATTATTCACAAAATTTCCAAAATTGATTTGGCAAAAACGAAAAAAAATCACTTAAAATGCAGTTTAGTGAGTTAGTAAATTCTAACCATGTTGGGAAGCAAGGTGAGGACAGCACCGTTTACAGAATTTATTTCTGTACGTCAAGTCTGAAATACTTAGGATTCACACGAGACAGAAGTATGAACGACAAGTATTTCTTACCTATTCGTCGAAAAGCGGAAACGTATGGCAATCTGACATCTTTCAAAAGTATATATTCATGAAATCTGTATTAAATTTTCCAAAATGAACGTACTGTTTCTCTACATACGAGAGGGAATAAGTTAGAATTTGTCCGAGAATGTATTTTTAACAAATCTGATGATATTGTTTGCTTACATCGCAACGTAAAAAAAAATTAAAATTGTATATACAGAACTAATCAAACAGTCAAAGAACAGATAGTCGGATTGGTCAATTAACACTTAGGGTAAAATTAAGACCTTTTAAATACTACTAACAGTAATGTTAACTCAAGATTACTATATTCATTTAGTATATGCTGACAGAACCCCCTGCCCCCGATTTCTATGAAAGAGAACAAAAGCAGACAAACGATTTACAAAACATTGGATTTGTGAATTGAAATCTTCAAATAATTACAATAAATCGATGATCCATTCACGCAACCGATCATGAGCGTGGAAAACAATCTTACACTGATAATAAAACAGGCATTGCATACATCAAGTTTGCACCACGAGTTGCTATTGTTCTTAAAAAGAATTTATAATGTGAAGAGAAGTCTGAAAATCATAGTTATATTTTCCTATAAAATTTAAACGATTATATAGATGAAATAAGAATATTTTCTGCACACACACACCCTCACACACACACACACACACACAGAGAAAGAGAAAGTGAGAGAGAGAATGTGAATCAACATTCAGACAGCGATTTTCAAAAGTAAGAAAGAGAAGAAATAAAAGATAAAACTTAATTTTCACAATACACTGTTTTTCAATTCTTAAAAAATAACACTTATTCCTGTGAAGCTTTAAGGCTGAGTTTAAACAAAACTGCACATCAATTATGATAAAGTTTCAATGAAAGTGAGGATTATGTAGTTGTGCAAGTTGTGAAGTCGTCGATCCTGTTGAATTACTGTAAAGAGTAGCGATGTTGTATTTAAAGACCATTGCTACAATAAAAAGACGAATGGATGGATTTGTATATATATTTTAGAACTTATTTTGATTGTAAATGATTCAGATGTTTAATTCATGTACCTAAAATATCAGGAAACTTTCTTCGAAGTTCAGATTTTTCTTAACTTTTTGCCTTTTGTAGCAAGTGCACTTAAGCAGAAGTAACAATGTTGTTTCAGAATGTTAATTAAAATTGTTTCACTATAACAGAGAACATCAAACTTGTTTTGACGCAGAGAGTGACAACATTCTATTCTAATTAAAGTTACAATTTTGTATTGTAAGAGAGATTAACAGTGTTTTATAGTAGCAGAGATTGACAAGTTTGCATTGTAATAGAGAGTAAGGATGTTGTAAGGAAACAGTTCAATGTTATATGGAAGAAAAAAGTTATAATTCTGCACTGTAAACGAGTAATACTGATATATTGTAAAGAGACCTTTGTAGAATGTTACATTGTTATAGAGAATAACAATGTTGTATTTTAGCATAGAGTAAGAATTTTGCATTGTAACAGAAAACAGCAATGTTGTATCGTAACAAAAGAATAACAATATTGTTCTGTAGCAAAAGTAACAGTTTTGAATTGTAGTAGAGAGTTACAATATTGTATTGAAACAAGAGAGTAACAATATTGTTTTGTAGCAAAAGTAACAATTTTGCGTTGTAGCAGAGTGTAACAATTGTGTATTGTTTAACAGAGAGTTACAATGAAGTATTGTTTAACAAACTTAGGATAGTTACAATGTCGTACTGTAATAGAGAGTAAAATTGTTGTATTGTAACAGGAAGTATCGACGACCCTTCAATATACAGAGTTAGTTGGTAGTCTATCATTTAATTAGAACATTATTGTGCTATGAAACACATTAAATTACCTTGGCATTTGGGATGTACAGTTTCGATGATGGCATTAAATCATTAAACATCTTGTAAAACTCACAAACTAGAAAAGAACACATTCTTAATATAGACTGTGATCAATTAATTCCATCTATTTAGCGATAAAAAAATAAATTATAGGTGATTATGTTATATGCAATGAAAATAGTCAACAATATTTAAAGATGTAGGGATCTAGAAGCTGGCTTTTTAATCAAAAAGGTACATGTACATGTATTGCGAAACAAAGATTAAAAACCCTTCAATTTTCATTAACACAAAGTTGGCGATTAATTACTTTTTAATTTTGATCCATGGGTCCACGGGATGAGTTGTCGAAAATGATGCTGAGGAATACAAATACCAATTAGTCACGTGATCAAAATGCCAAAAAAAAAAAAAAAAAAAAAAAAAAACAAAAACAAAAAAAACCCCCCGAAACCTTAGCTGTAAACGATGACTGCACTTAACGCCTGTTTTGGGTGTTTTTTCGGTTGCTTCTGTTGCTTTTATATCTAGTAAACCTTATTTCACTTTTGTATGTTTATGAAAGAATCCTGCCAATTTGAAAACAAATTTAAATCTTCAAATGCTTTTAGGCTGTGATATAATAAAATGATTTAATGTTTTTTGTCCTTAGTGCTTTCCAAATATAGTGAATTTACACTTACTTGCCCTTGATTGAACATTAGATATGCGTGAGAGGTGGAGCTAACATTGTAAATATGGGTCTTAAATTAGACTTGATAAAAAAAAATGACATGTTTGAAAAAAAGAACGTGATCACTCTTTCCAATCTCCCTCTCCATTCTGTATGGCACAAATACACTTCTGACAAAGGTTTCAAAACGAAACTAACAATATGAGCACGTCAATGTAATTAAAGCAGATTGTATATCAATGCCAGATGACTTAACGTGTTCGAACACAATGTCCTAGTTAGCACAAAACATGCTACCTTACAAGTCACGTGACAGAATTTAGTATTCACAAAGTTACCGGAGGTAGGACATCACGTGGTGAATTATAATATTCAACATGTCACAATCCTTGGTTACAACACAGTGAGCGAATGTAAGAAAAGCAGTTTTTTCTCTTTTTAACCATGAGCGCATGTTTGTCTATTAATCTACTTTTGACACATTATTATTTATGCAAATATACAACTACTGTGAAACGGAGAGCAATAGACAAACATGCGCTGACTATGTATAAAGTCAGTAAAAAAGTGGGTGTCCTCATTATTACGGAGATTCAAGAAATTGTGATGACCCCTGCCTTTGAAAACAGATTCAAACTTCGTAAATACACACTTTTATTAAACGTATTTACATAAAGTTGTAGATTGGATGTTGACCATTCTTGAAATGAAAAGAAAAATGCTTGTTTTGAAAGTTTATTTTGTTGCAAATTTCGCATGTCCTTAAGTGCAGTCATCCTTTGATCATTTACCAACCTGTATCTATATCCCAACAACTTTTTTAAAATGTTATCTTTTATTGACACTTTTGACTGACTTAATATATGCACATTTATAATTTTAATCCGATGAAGTTTATTTTGGTCAAAACCCTACGGTGTAGGCTGTAGATTGAATTCCTTGAACACCTGTTTCATTTATGTAATTATGATGTTAATCTTAAATTGAGTAGTTTGTTTATGATTCTGCAATTGAATTTTTTAAAAAATGAGAAACTGCACCTATATGCATTGAAAGATAAACATTAATTGCTCATACAATGTTATATGAAAACATTTGCAAATGTGAATATTATTGTACATTTCAATACCCATATTTATTGTGTTGCCTGCAGGGGCAGAGCGACGCTTAGGGATCACTTTACCCGGTGTCTGTCTGTTCTTGCTTCCGTCTAGTCTGTCACTCCCTATATCTTAAGAAATTTAAGAAGTATTGGATTTGATACTTTGCACATATATTGCTTGGTACATTGGTTTTTGTAAAATGCTACGGTTACCGACCTCCTGACCCTTGAATTTGACCTTTGACCTGCTTTGCAAAATAGTTCAGTGTTCCGAAATACAGCATCTTTTTGATACTTAAGAGGTAAATTTATGCTATTTAGCATGTGCACTGTTTGCCATAAAACAGTATCAAGAATACCAGAGTTACAATCCACTTGACCTTTGACCTGCTTTGCAAAAGTATTCCGGACGATTGATTAACTTGTGTCTTTTGAATTTTGAGAGACAGGGTTTTATAATTAAACTTAATTAGACATATCATATGTTCATGAGCTAGCTAATGACACTATACTTTATAATTTTATTCTATACAGTTACCACACAAACTAATATTTAAAATACTATGAAAATACATCGGGATCGGTATTATACCAAAATGATCGTTGCAGTAAATTTAATTAAAAGCAGACTGAAATTTCTTTTGGAGATAGTTGGATAATGAAATTGAGTGGCCTATATGTTCATATGGCAGCAGATGTTATGTTCACTCTCACACAGGTATTATAGCTGTACTTAAAAAATATAACATTAGAAATTTTAGAATATAAAAATGTTTAACCCAGCGTCAGCAACATGTTTTATCTGAGAGCGGGAACTGAGCATTATGTTTAATTTGGCACTTTAATATTCTAGCCATGAGTTGCCATCCGGTGATTCCTCCCTATAGATTGGCGCTCCCGTAATCCGGGCCATACATGTACAGTAGGAGCACAAAAGTGTTGAGTAAAAAAGTTGTCGCTAGAACATATCATAAATTCGCGCGTATTAAAAGTTGTGTGTTCAGAGTTCGAGTTTTGGAAATCCCCATGAAATATAAATAGGTCAGTATGAGTGACGTATAGCATGACGTATATTTCATCGTCTGCTTATAGTTTTGTTGACATTCTATCTCGGTAACAAAATGGAGACGAAACGTCAAGAAATTCACAACCCTTGAAACAAATTATTGTAGAACTTTATTCAAATGGATCGGTGGAAAACTTGCCAAGATCAGGCCGGCCTCGTTCAATTGACGATCGGGAATATCAGAGGCTCCAGAGATCGGAGAGCACCTCTAGGAGAATTAACTGCACGATTTAATGAAAACAGAACAACTTCAGGGTCTCAGAAGACTATCAAACGTAGACTTAAAGAAAATGGCTTCACTTGAGGTGTGTATAAGAAAAAAAGTTGTAATTCAAAATGTCAACCGAAAGAAACGCCTGTCGTGGTGTAGGAAGAAGAGGTGATAGACTGTGCAAAATCAGTGGTCAGAAGTAATTTTTTTTATTTATTTATTTATTTAATTTGACAAAAACCACATGTGGCGCAAGTCATACATACAGTAAACAAATATATAGTCACAAAGATTTTGTTATATTAAATGCATCACGTATGAAGTTAGAAATATTTCTTGTTGATTTAACATCTGCAGAATTAAGAATTTCATAAGATATACAATGTATTGTTAAAAAGTGTACAAAATTCACTTCTTAGTTGTTTATAGAGAGGACATACAAATAAAAAATGATGTTCATCTTCAACAACAGTTTGACAATTAATACAATGTCTTTCATCTCTTGGTATAATTGGATTACAATATCTGCCAACCTCTATCTGTAATTTGTGGGCACTTATTCTTAATCGAGTCAAAAAAGAACGAAGATTCATGGAAATTAAAAAAATTAAGTATGGTTGAATTTCAAGCTTGTTTAGATTTCCTTAACTTATTAACTGGTTGTAGAATGATAATTTACCATTACCTTTTTCTTTGATATGTCTTATATCCCTAAAAACTATATTCTCAAAATACATTTCAAATTATTTTCAAAATCATTTATTGATAATGCATTAGCATTTGAACCAATAACTTCATCAAGTATAATTTGTATACAGTTTTGCCAACATGTTTTTTCCATTTCCTGCAAGTTTTTCATCCTCTAAATATGCATGTTGTAAAAGCAAGTTTGAGTTCTCTTGATCTGAAACAATTTTTTGTAATCTGTAATAATATCTATATAATAATTTATATATTCTGAAAATAATGGGAAGTGCACCATACTCTAACTGCTAAATTAGAAGCTTTATTTATGGACCCCTAAAATCTCTTTCAAGATGAAATTTTGATTTTTTTCGTTTGGAGTTTTATCAAAGTCTTTTGTCAATTTTTTAAAATCACTTATCCAGATTTCCGAAGCATAAGTCAAAATTGGCATAATGCATGATTCATATATCTTAAACTGAGTCTTTCCTGAGAGACTAAGATTGCTTGGTGATTTTGATTTGATTTAGCGACGAATCTCAGATATGTGTTGGTGAGAAAAACCTCGTTTGTTTGGAAAAAAGCAGGAGAGGGTTGGAGACCTGGCCCGAGAATTGACTTAAGTCAAAATTTCAAATCAATATAACTTTTGAAATAATTTTGATAATGAAACAAAATTTTCATTTTATGTTTGAACTTGAATTGATGTAATACAAACCTGCAAAATTTTATGCAGATATGCTAAATAAAACTTAAGATATTCAAAATTTTGACTTAAGTCTTTCTCAGTTTATGGTCTTGGGGCCTGATATAGAACCACGACAAAATGGCCCCAAGTTCAGCATTATGTCGAGTTGAAGGGAACATTAATTCCGCATGGAAATTACTTTTTTCAGGACGATAATGCTCGATCCAGTACATCTTTTTTGTGTAACAGGAAATCATTGCCAGAAATCGAATAAAAAACATGAGCTGGCCTGCACAGTCTCCGGACTTTTAGTCCCAGTGCACATATAAATTCCGCAGACGAACTTTTTCAGCATTATACGCTAAAGACATTGCAGGACAATAACGTAAATTATATTAAAGACCTTTTTCATTCTTTTCCAAGGAGAATACAGCAGGTCATTAAATTGAAGGGCCATCTTACTAAATACTGAGGTAAGTTATTTTGTGTTTTTATCCTAGCAAGTCAGCTGTCAAGTGTTTTTGGCAAAAGTTGTCCCTCTTGTGTTGGAAATTTCTCAACACTTTTGTCCCCCTACAGTAGCTTATGCTATGGAGGCCGCAAAAAAAAAAAAAAAAAAAAAAAATAAATAAATAAAAAAAAAAAATTAAAAAAATATCAATTTCATTATTAATTAGCTGATTACCTTTGAGGGTTGGGGAATCTTATTTCTTTTTGGTTGTCAATTTTTATACGACAAATGCTGTTCTATCGATCTTACTTTCCTTGGATTTTTTTTTATTTTGCAGGCAAATGCTTGAACTTTACTGCTAGTAGCAAATAAGTAGCTGACCACCTTTAGACTTATTTTAATCTTTAATGATGCTATAAAGCAGGCGACACATGCGTTCTTTGGAACACTCTAGACTGGAGTGTTTGTAACTGAACTAGTTCATTTATTTTGTATACTAACATTTTTTAGCTTGTTTTTCTGTTGCTTCCAACTTCAGATGTGATTTCCGCAGACTCTGAGAAAAAAAAGAATTTAAAGTTATAATTTTGAGGAAAATATGTTACGAACTTTTTTCATAGAATATAAAAAAATAATTATATAAATGTACCTCTCGTTTGGGTATGCCCCGATTGAATATAGGGTTATGTGCTGAAAAATAAATTAATGTACAGTACATATAATGATTTCATATTATATATAAAGCGAATGCAACTGACATCGAGATTTATATTTTTAGCTTGCATTGTTTCGCAGATCTATAATTAATTACGATCATGTATTTATTTATAATAATTGTTAATTATAATTAAATTCAATTGATTTATAAAAAAGGGACAAACATTGCACTTGTAAACATTGAGCTTGGTTAATTTATTTTACACTTCTTGTTAGCTTGGCCGATAATAATTATATATTTACATTTCCAAATATTCTTCCTAAAGATTCTTTGCAAATTAAAAAAAAGTTCTCATGAACTACCTTTGGATGAGTGCGAATATTTCCACTGTGATGTAAATAGTGCGAATTTATTTTTCTTCAAAAATGATCGTTCAATGACAAAAAATATGTAGCAAATCATCAGAAAATAATGTAAATATAAGATATGAATTTAATTTTTGAGAATTCATGAGGTATATGACTACAACGCTTCACGCCGGCATATTTATCATCAAGCGCTAACGCACTTCTTGAAATATGCCGGTGTGAAGCGTTGTAGTGCTTGTCCTCATAAATTCTCAAAAATCAAATTCATCTCTTAACATATCACCTATTTCGTCACCTTATGCTCAATAAAAACAAGAAAAAAGGATCAAATTATTTAAAACAATCAAAATCGCTTGACAAAAGCAACTTTAAATTCTACGCATGTTAACGCACGATTACGAAAAAACGGTTGTTGTTTTTCGCTTTGTTGCTATGTTTGACTTTGTTTTTATGCATTGATCATCTCTAATTAGCGATTAAACAGTCAAATCCCCTCCAATTCAATTCAAAATTTCGCCAAATGACGATCCATGAATATTGTAGCGACAGCCGAAATTACACAAATATTTATTTTTTTTATTTCTCAAAAAAATTCTATGTAATGTAAATGTGCGAAAAAAGTGACATGCTCCGTGACACACGCCGCTTTATCTAAATAAATTACCTGTATATTTTTCAAAGATCGTCGGGAAACACCAAATCTTTGCATATTTATTGAAAAATACGTATAGTTTTTATCTGCAGATTTGCTGGTTTCTTGCAAATATATATAGCGGGATTACTAGAGAACTTGTCCGCGAACTTTTCTAACAACCCTCGTATTTATACTGAATAGATCATTTGCTATGTGTTCACCATTGTTAATTGTACACCCACATCTTAATATAAAAAAAGTCATATGAACGTATGACTGCAGTTTGTGTTATATAAAAGACCTATAACTTTTTTTGAAGACGAAAATTTTAAAATGTGTGGCTTGCATGTATTTTCAAAAAGGCATACGAGGGATGTTCCAACAATAATGGCACTTTGCTGTTAAATTTTCACCAACATTTATTAATCTTTGATCCTTTTATTCGTCCCTGCCCTTCGAAGTATTCACCCTTGGCCTGGATACACGAACAATCCACTTTTGGAAACAATTTTCATACTCCTCAATAGGGATACCCATCATATACTGATAAATTGCAGATCCAGGGGCATATCGTGATTCGTATTTTTTCTGCAGATAGGAGGAATTTAAGTTTTGGGGAACAGAAAGAAGTCACAATGCGTGCTCTGTGTGCAGTCGCATTGTCGTGCAAAAGTCGGAGATACTTCATACCCGTTTCGGGGTGACGACTTTCGTAATATTTCTTCAGTTTTTAAAAAAAACAACAAACATTTTTATAATTTTTATAGTAGTTACCTGTGACTATCTTGCCCTTTGGCACAGGAATGTGCAGAACAGGGCCTTTATTGACAAAGAAAATAACATATAAAACCTTCTTCAAGATTCGTAATCTTTTAGCAATACTAGGACCTTTTGCACTCTTTGATATCCAGATTTTGTTAGAACGCTTACGTTTTGGCTCAAAACAGTATACCCAGGTCTCATCACTAGTAACTTAATTATCAAAAGTTTTTTTGGTATATTTTGGATTCAATTTTAATAATCTCTTTGCCTTTTCAACACGATCTCTCTTTTGTTAATTGCAAAGCAAATGAGGTATCCACCTAGCGTTTATCTTTCTAAGCATTAGCATTTTTTCAAAATACCACGAACACGTGCTAATGACAAATTGTCGCCCGAGCCAAGTTGTCTCACGGTATATCTTGCATCTTTCTGTAAGATTTGATGGATTTTTACGATGTCATTACTGGTTGTAACTATTGCAGGGCGACCTTGGCGAGCAGCATCTTTGAGGTGTTGTAACCTGTTTTAATCTGAAATATCCCTTCGGCTCTGCTCTGAATTTCACCAATTTTTAAAAAGCATTCCCAACATTGAATTTCATCAACAACAATAGCATTAGATTCAAATGGAAAATAATTTGGAGTATGAAGAAAGTTTGATATGGTGAATAGAAAGATCAATATTTTTTTTTTATCTCAGCATAAAATTAAAATTATGAGGTATAACTATATGACAATAATATTTACTGTCAAAGCTATTTAATTCATATAAGAAAACATAATGAAGCGTTTGCTTTTAAATCAGAATATCGCATTGTTTTCTGTGCTTGTAAAATAAAAATGCATCCATCTATACAAGTTATCAATCCACCTACAGGCGTTATCCTTTTTCAATTTTTTTTTTTTAAGAGAAAAAATATTAATTAACTGATTATAAAAAATTCTGCATCTACAATTCCTGTAACAATTAAGAGAATTATATGTTAAGAGATCGAAATATCTCAATTTTAACAGCTTGAAGGAGCTGAATATAAATGTTTTAGGTAAACAATTATAAGAAATTAACTGCATAATGGTCCTCATTAGTAAACTCTGGTAAGACAATTCATTGGATTGCTTGGAATAATATCCTTCGAAAGTTATCTCTTTTATCAGACGGACATTACACCTTAAATTTAAGCTGACATGAACTCTTAAAAATGTGATATTTTCATCCTTGTACGACTTATTTCATTCCCGTGTGTAGGTTTTTTTTTCTTCTTTTCTTTTCCTTTTTTTTGGCTTGTCAAAAAAAGGAGACAATTTTTTCAGCAGGTTTTATCCACTCTGCCCCAGAAAAATTCCTCGATCTGCCCTTTTAAGGACTATATCATTTCCCAAGATTTTTACTACATCGGATTTTATATGCATTATTACTCTTACATGTATGGATGCTTACACATGAGAGAGAGAGCATACATGTACTTGTATTGAAAATGCAAACAATATTTATCTATAATCTTGCGGTTTAGGTTTTAAGTAATCCTTAAACTATCTTTTAAGATTTTCTCAAAATACAAGAAATTGAATAGGTACCAAATTTTAGACTACCTGCGGAAACTCTCCAATATGGAAAGACTTTCTATACATGCATATAAAACAGGCACGTAGCACCGTTTCTCAAAATGTGTGTATGCGAGGGGGAGCGGGGGCAGTAAAATGATTGACAAGCAAAAGAAAAACTTTAGGCACGTAAAAATTGGGGGAAGTGAAGAAGGAAAACAGGCATTTAAAAAAAACTCTGTAGTCAGAGGAGGGACAGATTCCATTCATACTATCATTTTCGGCAGAAAAATATTTGAGTACAATGTACAATAATGTTGGATTAGAGTTGCGGGGGGGGGGGGGGGCAGCCAATCTTAAAATAAAAAAAAATCCCTGTCGAACGCGTGGGTGGGGGATGCCCCCTTTTCCCGAGCATAATGTTTTACTGTTTAGTATGAAATACACAATCAAAGGCTGATCTCCTCCACTTTTTGTTGCACTATAGTTAAATCCTCGAAAAAGTTGTCCCTCCCCATTCCCGCCACAAAATAGGATTTTGGAGATTTTTTTTAAATATTTTATCTTTTTATTTATTTATTTTTTTTATTATTATTATAATTTTCATTATTATTATTATTTTTATTATTTTGCTTGTCAAAGATTTTTCAGGTAAAGTGTCAATTATTTCTTAGATGCAACGTGCCTGAAAGACACTCTGAGAAAAGGGAGTATCCCCCCCCCCCCCCGGCTCCACGTATGTGTATATTTGTTAATTTGTGTTCTGGTTAAATGCTCTCATGTCGTGTTCTAAATCATTTTTTTTTACACCAAATTACTCAGTTTAGTTTTTAGATAATCAGCAATCAGACTTTTTTTTTAGTGATTTCTTATTTTTTACCTAGTCGCGCAAATACTAATTCTCTTTTTTCCCCGACCAAAATCTGATCAGCACGGACTAAGCGTATTCGAGTGCTAGGCTGTACGATGAAGTGACAACGTGTTTACTGTTGAGTATTTATGGAGTTTATTACTTTTTGTGATGTATATTTCAATAAATGGAATATAAGGTGTAAATTATTCGGCATGTGCACATCTTCGAACGGGTACAGTGGTCTTTTTCCAGGTATGAGTAAGTTTAGAGTGTTCGACGTGTTCTCTCGATATGCATCAATTGTATTTGAATGCATAGGGACATGCATAGGAAATACACTGGTGGAGTGATGGTTTGTTCCATTCTTACGATAGATTATTGCAAATTGTTTGTACGAGTTTTACTGTGTATTATTTCAAGTTTATTGTGCATATATTGGTATGCTTTTAAAAAACACGCGCAACTATGTTTCTACTTCCAAACTTGCATTTATGTTATTCAAAACGATAATTATTCATGATTATTGTTATGACTGTTTTTATCTGTTCTGGTTTTAAAATGTTTTCATCAATTCATGTGTTCCCCAAATACTTTACTATCGGAGATGTGCACGCGTCGATAGCCAAACCAAAAATTCACTCAAGTGTAACGAGTTCAATGGGGTATATATCGTTACAATAGAGAAATACCGACATCTTACGAACGAACGTAACTCGCCCTAACTTCCCGTATCTCGGTAGTTTTCCCGGGACCAGTTATTGCACCTAGTTTAAAATTAATAAATCGGAAAAATTAAGTATATGTGTATAATAGAACGGACAGTATTTCAATCACTTTGTAAATGATAATTTCTCCTGTCTAATTTTCTGTAATCACTTACAATGTAATTAAAAGCGTACAAACAGAAGAAAATACGCCAAAATACCTATGACGGGTTAGGAAACACATTTGTCATGCGTCAGTGGTTATATGTATACATGTATATATTAGTGTGCGCTGTGTTCATTTGGGGAAAGTTACGTTTTATAGCATGGATTGATTGATTGATTGTATATTGTTTAACGTCCCTCTCGAGAATTTTTCACTCATATGGAGACGCCACCACTTGCCGGTGGAGAGCTGCAAATTTTGTCCTATACTCGGCACTTACGGCCATTGAGCAGTGAGGGATCTTATTCGTGCCAGCACCTACTGCGACACGGGACCTCGGTTTATACGGTCTCATCCGAAGGACCGGTCTCCACGTCCCACAGTGGGATTCGAACCCGTGACGTAAGGATCAAGTCCTTACTTCGCGACTCTAGAGCAGACACTCTAACCACTGCGCCACGCGGGCGACTATAGCATGGATGAAATCTAAACTCATACCCTGTATAAATCCATGCAAAGGCAACAAGTTACTAGGTGATGCGCTTATATAGTATCTTGTATTTAAAAGTGTACATTTATGTGTTTGTAAGAGAGAGAGGAGAGAGAGAGAGAGCACAATGGACAATAAGTGTTGTAATGAATTATACAGTGTAGTATTGTTTTCTAACGTTTCAGAAATCAACCATTAAAAATCAGAAAATAGTTGGCACTTCTCCGGAAAACGTAATATTTTTAAAGTGGTCGCACGTAGATGTTTGTGTACTTGGGGAGGGAGAGGGGGTCGAAGCTCAATTAATCGAATCAAATGTCCATTTTCAATACATTTAAGTAAATACATGGAATACTACGATTAAAAGTGGAATGGGGCAATGCATGTATATGCAATAATTTTTTTTTCCATACCGTATCTAGTAAAAGAAAAAGTAACTTCATAAAGAAAGAAGGGTAGGTTTTTCTTTATGTGAAATATCACTTCAAAGAAATAAAAAAGCATTCATATGATAGACAGTGTCTTCTTGGATGATGTTTTATGTTGCAATCTTCACTTAATTTATCTTTCGGCTGCCTTTCATGATATATGTTATATCTGTATAGATATGTGGATTATAAAAGCTGCAAATTATGCATTTTGGTAGGGTCACAGACGTTTTAAATGGGGGGGGGGGGCAGAGAAAAAAAATCAACTTACCTGAAAAAACCTGGCAAGCAAAAAAAACTTTCTTCTTTCGGTACGAATTTTTTTTCATACTTTACTACATTAGCCTTATTTGACTGTACTGCAACAAAAGGGGGGGGGGGGGCAACAAGCCTTTCGATGAACATTTCGAACAATAAAAAGTAATGTGTGCAAAAGGTGGGGCAGACCCCTCTGATGCTTCATGTCTGTGGGTGCTGTATATTTATTAAATTTTCTTTGCACTCAAGCTATGTAGCATTATGTCATTGTTTGTTAAGCATGCATTATTCGTCAGAATATAAAATTACAAGATACACTGAATACGTGAAGGGTAACTTTGACCCCGCACTCAGAGTAATTTCGACCGAAGCTCTAATGTACAGAGAAAAAAAACTATATTCGAAATTATAATTTGCGTCATCTTTAAGGAAAAAAAAAATCATAGATTGATTCAAGTATACTGACAAAAAGATACTGTAGTTCTCAAAATATGAATAATTTAAGGACATCATTCATTAGTCGAATTAGAAACATATACTTTTCGTCTTTAAAAGTCGGAGGGGTTGGGGGAGCCAGAGAAAAAAAATCAACTTACAAGAAAAAATCTGACAAACAAAAACAAAACAAAACAAAAACAAAAAAGGGGGTGGGGGTTTAAAGTCGAAAATCCTTCTTTCATTGGGGGGGGGGGTCCAACTTTTTTGGAACAAAATTTTCTTCATACATTATCATATAAATATTGGGTCGGTAGATAGGTAATAATTTTTTTTCCAGAAAATTTCAACATTCTTATTGATGGAGAAAGAAAATTCGGGAGAAAATATCATCGTTTCCTCAGGTTAAACAAGTTTTGAGTCGGGTCATTTTTACCCAGTCGGTGAGGGCAAAGAAACAATTTTTAAAGATGGTCTAACCTAATTTGGCTGATACCAACGTGTCTGGAAATTACTTACCGAAGCAGCATTCATGTGTACAGGGGTTACTAAGGCCAATTTCTACTCAGCTGATTTGCATTGCATTTTAATTTGTAAAACCTGAATATTTTGAATGAAATGTGCATGAGTTTCAGTTGCAAAATCATTCTCATATATATCACGTCAGGAATAGCTATTGATTAATTTTCTACGCAGATATTGTCAGAGGTGATAATTCCTTGTAATGGCTAAGAAAACTATCAAAATAAAATTAAACCCGGCTTCAATATACATGCACATGTATTATAGCGATATCATGAATCCGTGGGAAAAAAGCCCGTTCGTAATTTTTTCGGTTGATAAGGCTTCTTCTTAGATACATACGATCCTTAGACGTAATTTTGCTCCAGTCTTTGCCCCCTCCCTCCCCCCTTCTCAGCTCTTTGATTTTTTTTCATTAAATATTTCGGATTTCCAACGATTCGGCATGAGCATTACTGTAGAGTCCTAAATATACGCGAGGAATAAATTATCGCGTAATTACGCTAGAAGCACCACTCGCGAAATAAATTACTCGCTTTTATTTTTATGGTGCTTTACTGTATGTAAAATCTCTAAGATACATCACCCATTCCCGAATTATTGTTCTCGCGATTTGACGCCCTTCGGCCATTTCGCGATATTGAGTACTCGCGTAAAATAAGGAATCTACTTAAGAGACATAATATGTTTAAAGAGACACTGTGACGGACAAACGGGAAAATTTACAGAAGCAAATTTTTGCAAGACACATGCAAATTTAATTCAATTCTTGAAAGTATTACGTTTCAGAAAATTACAGGTTTCAGAACCTAAAAAATCTACTTTTGTGGAGAAAAATACAAGTAAAAATAATTTTAGTTTGCCCCAACACGAAAAAGAAAACTTAAAAGAAACACATGATATTGACTCACTATGTAACTTTAAATGCGCCTCTGCTGCATCAAAATTGGCACCGTATATGATTTACATGTACAAAGTTTAGCCAGTAGTGTGAACAAAAAGGACATTGTTTTATGTTTATTTTTTTAACTCTCCCTCGCCCTCTTTTTCGTGAGACAGAATCTTTGACTTCATGCTTCAAAATGAGACATTTTTTGTTTTCCTTTTACATGTGTATTTCCCTTTTCGGAACCCCTTTGCTCGTTTAAATGTCCATTGAAATGTATTGTAGCGTCACGGTAGCGACTACGACGAGAAGTAGTTTTGAGGTATCCTGCGGGGATTTTATCTTTTGAAATCGCAATAACATTGAAGAGTTTAATAATGCAAATGTGAGTACAATGAACGATCCCCTTTTTTGGTTACGTTCGTTCGTAAGATGTCGGTATTTCTCTAATAAGACAAGGTATCTGAAAGAAATATGGCGGAATAGTTGGTATGAAACAAGTCGTACATTGATGCAAATTTTGCGTTTTTAAGAATTCATGTCAGCTTTAAGCAACCCACCTACAAACAGACCTATGAGACATTTGACCATTACCATAGATATCACAGACCTCACGATGAATATCTAGGGGTTTAATGCCAAGTAAGGACCTACCTTTTATAAAGGCCCTAATTTCAATGAAGGGCATTTTGCTCTTTAGTATAGTGTAATGAATACACTATAAAGCAATGTACATTGTAGCTAAGTCAGTGATATTGTGAACATGAAATTTTCTTCCGCTACGGTTCGGTGATCAATCTAACCTGTTAATGTGGTTTTGAACAGTAAGATATTTACACGATTTTCACGCGAAGAAGGTGAAATGACAAATGTAAACAACGAATGAACGTTTTAGATTACCTTCCATGTATTTTGTGAGAGCCATTTCTTTCTCTCGTGAATTCAAAATCACCATTTCTCCTCCAGTTTTTTCACAAATCTCGACAGATTTTGCCAACGTTGCTCTTTCGCGATGGAACGAAAAACACCAATTAGCGACATTGACAAATCCCTCTTTACATTTTGGATTTCCTGTAGGGTTTGAGTACCAAAGGAAAGAATATGTTCAATGAAACTTTAAGAATCTACGACAAAATGTAGGATTTAGAAGCAGAAGTATTCTTACCTAATGTAAAGACCATAAAGTTAAATATCCAAGCTACTTGGAAACTCAACATATCATTGAAATTCTTCTATTTCACTAATAGTTTTAATGTTTTATATTGCTTCCTCATTCTTTCATTCCTGACAGAGCATTTAATTTTAAATACACCTAATGCTGATCGAAGTTTTTACACGCGGAAAATATTTACACGGAGTCTAATCAGATAAAACTGATTTAAACGTATGTAACAGTTATCGTTTAAGGTATTCTATGTATAATGAAGGAATATTGAACAATTTTGAATCATTTTAAACTAGTTAAAATGTTAAATGTATATTGCTGGATAACGGTGAAAGTGAAATGAACCAAATTCACATGACTAATAACATATAAGAAGCCGGTCTTTTTGCACTTTAAACGTTTTATGAAGAGTTATTTGCCATTTATGAAAAGAAGCAAATCTTAATTTTGTCAAAATATCTTTGGTAATACCAAAGATATTTTGACAAAATTAAGATTTGAAAATGATCAATTTTATATCATATTTTAATATAGAGAGAGTTTACGCATATTTTCACCGAGAAATTTGTTTGAAAATAAAATTACTTTACACATGCGCTGTCCATAGACGTAAAATTCAAGTGCAATTAAATGGACAATAAACAAAATTTTGTAAATTCCTTTGGTGGAGTATTTTTATTTGATAACACCACAGACCTTTGGATCGCTTAAATCAGACTTTAAAAAATTGGGATGTATAAAAAAGATATTTTTTAACACCTTAATTTTTTAAAGCGATCTAAGGGCCTATGGATAACACCTTCAAAATGCTACCATAATTAAAAAATATTGGACCATTCATTTATTAAGTACAAAATATGGTCGTTATACATTGAATACCTTAAATTCATACCAATTGTTAGGTCTTTTTTCATACTAATTTCGACTTAGGTTACTCTGTTTACATGACCAATACAAAAGATTCATGGCGGGTCTGACCGTTCGACGGGGGATACTTACACCTCTTAGGCACTTGACCCCTACTCTGGTGTTTCCAGGGGTCCATTTTATCGATTTGTTTTGTTTATAGGTTTTGTGTGATTGACCTGTGTTTGTTATCATTAAGGTCTTCCGCTCCAGGCGGAAGACCTTCTACTGATTCTGATGGTTAAGATTATTAAGGTCTTCCGTCACAACGGAAGACCTTCTACTGATTCTGATGGTAAAGATTATTAAGGTCTTCCGTCTCCACGGAAGACCTTATAGTGATTCTATTGTTTCTTATTATTATTATTCTTTTTTTTTAGACAAAATTTTGTGCACGCGATTTCTCGAAAACTATTCAATGAATTTCTTTGAAATTTTCAGGGATAAAAGGTCTTTATATGAATTTTATATAAAATTCCGTTTTTTGGTAAATTCGGTTCCAGTGCCAAGTTATGGACAATTTCCTGATTTTAAAATGAAATTTTGTCCTCGAAGGATCTAAGAAACGGCTAAAGATATGAACTGGAGACTTGTTAGAGATGATAGACCATGACTTCTACATGTTCGAAATTACCTTGGTTTTCGACGTCAGTACTTCCGGTCGTCACCGGAAGTGTTCAAAGAAATCGAAAATTTCAATTTTTCTTTTTTTAATCAAATCTTGCATCACATTATTGCAAGTCTTTCACAGTTTCGAAATATGTTTGTCCCACCGGAAACAAAAACGACTACTTCCGGTTATAAGAGAAAAACCACAATTTGAGTATTTTACTTTCCCATGAATATCTTTTATAGGTAAAGCATTTGAAATGATTTTTAGGTATGTTATTCAGATTGCAAATACCTATAATAACGTCAAATATCTTTGCAAAATACACTTCCGGTCGCGTGTTTTTCTGTCCTCAAAGTGAGAAAATATCTGAGTGAGATCTCAGAAACGGTAAGAGATTTAGACAAGAAACTTTTATGAGTAATAGACCTTGAGGAGTAGACAAAACCATTTGGGTTAAGAGCGTCAGTCGTCACTTCCAGTCGTCACAGGAAGTGATCAAAAAAATCGAAAATTTCAACTTTTCTCTTTTGGAATAAGACTTGCATCATATAATTGTATCTTTTTCACAGTTTTGATATGTGTTGGTACCAAAAAAAAAAAAAAAAAAATACAACTTCCGGTTATAAGAGAAAAACTACACAATTTGAGTATTTTACTTTCCCATAAATATCTTTTATTGGTAAAGTATTTGAAATGATTTTTAGATATGTTATTCAGATTGCAAATGTCTATAATAACGTCAAATATCTTTGCAAAATTCACTTCCGGTCGCGTGTTTTTCTGTTCTCAAAGTGAGAAAATATCTGAGTGAGATCTCAGAAACGGTAAGAGATTAAGACAACAAACTTATATGAATAATAGACCTTGAAGAGTAGGCGAAATCATTTGGGTTAAATGTCAGCCGTCACTTCCGGTCGTCACAGGAAGTGATAAAAAAAATCCAAAAATTAAACTTTTCTTGTTTAAATTAAAACTTGCATTACCTTATTGCATCTCTTTCGCTGTTTTGAAATATGTTAGACTCCTCCGGAAACAAAAACGTCAACTTCCGCTTTTAGGAGATAAAATACGTTATTTCGATATTCAACTATCTCATAAATATCGCTTATAGAAAAAGAATTGAAATGTTTTAATACATGTTGTAGATACTGCAATGTCTAGAGACACGTTAGAGATTTTTTTTTTAATAAAATTCACTTCCCGTCGCGTGTTTTCCTGTCCTCAAAATTAGAATTTTTTCTCACAATTGCTCGGCAACAATAAACGACTGGAATCTGAAACTTTCAGGACTGACAGTCTGTCATTAGTTTATTTGCATCGTATGAAAATCGTGTGTCGCCGTTACTTCTGGTCGTGACAGGAAGTGATGCAAAAAAGTGAATGGTTAATGGTAAGCGCGTTGGATTTTAATGCTGTTGACCAGGGCTAAATCTCCAGAGTGTCTGAATTTCTTTTATCACTTTTTCAGCTTGAATTTTCGTTTTAATTTTCAGAATCGGACGGAAGACCTCTCATTGCTCGCAATGAGTTTCTAGTTATTCTTTTTTTTTTCTTCTCCTTTCTAGACGCCAAATTTGAGGCCTCATATCTCGCTCATTTCTCAACGGATTTTGCTCAAATTTGCAGGGTTTATAGACGTTACAAAACTCTATCAGAATGCTGTCAAACATGTCAAAAATCCACTTCCGCTTTTGAGTTATCTCCCTTTAAATGAAAATTTAGGACTCTTCATTTCCGGATAAAGGCTCCGAGACTACAAAAGCTGGAGTAGAAATTCTACCGAATTTAAATAATAGAAGCATTGAAGTTGTGCACATCTATTTTTGTTTTTTGATTTCTGTGTTCAAAATGGTGGTAGATAGGGGTCAAAAATTAGAACGCCTAAAAGTGCGAAAATTTACACATATTTTCCTATGTATCTTTTAAACTAAAAATATTTTGTTAAGACATGTTGAATAAAAGTTGTGCACAATTTTAAGGTCTTTCATTTGGCACCTCCAAAAAGGGGCTGGTTCCTTAAATTAGGGATCTAGGGTCCTTGAAAGTTTTCGTTTTATAACTCAAAAACGGTAAATATTTCGATATAGCTGTCGCTAAAAAAGTTGTTCTTTAACATATTATTGATCTCGTGAACTTGTTATTTTGTTCGAGTCTTTTTTAATAAATGAGCTAGAAGCTTGACCCATATACAGGTAACTAGTTTCATTAGACAAGTGAAGGTGAAATCTTTATGCGCATAACTGAAATAAACTTGCTATAAATGATAAACCTATCCAAAATGAATACTAATACTACTTTAAAATAAGTTTTTACGTGTTCTGTGGTTTCATTCCAAATTATTGAGTCACACATTTTCAATACGTCTCGGGGTTTGTTTTTGTTTATAATTACGTAACCGGCCATCCCCCGATCACGCGTTACCTAGATCCAGTGATCAGTGGCCATACACTAAACAGGCATTGCCGTTCTAAATCTATTTTGCAAACTCAACTATGTACGGATAATTGTTTTTTTTTTAGTCAAATCGGATCTTTCAAATTATTTCATCTTATCTATGTTGGTCATGTTGGTGATATACTTATTAAATTATTGTGGCCGAAATTACAAGAGATCCGTTGCGTGTGAACCAGCGACCTGCGTTCGTAAACAAAACATCTTTTCGTCGTTTAATGTTGAAACATACACTATGTTAAATTTTTAAAAAAAAGTTAACAAAAAATAAATCAGTCTTTTACTGCATTTAACTGCGTTTCACATATACCCGGGTTTTGTGTTTGTTTACAATTATGTAACCTAATTATGTAGCCGAGGAAGCAGCTATTAGTGCTCATATACAAAACATTGTCGTTCTATATTCATTTTGCTGACACAATGATTTACGGAAAATTATTTTTTAAATCATACCGGATCATTCAATTAAATCATTTATTCTTATCTTAATTTGATTTAATTTAAATCCAAAACATTTTATTAAGGACGTATAAAGGTCCCCGATTTCATGAATCCTAATCTTTAAACTGCATACATGTATTTAATAAACGATTTATTTCTCAATTAATTGTTATTATGTGTTTAATTTCGGAGATTCATTGCGTGTGGTTAATTCTGCAGATAATTCTAACTTGACACACAAGGTTTGTAAACCAAGAATTCAAAAGAGATATATTTTGAAAACAATAAGACGCATTGCTAAACACTTTTACATTATTTTCTTTTTAAAATGGCTATCTTTATGATTACACCAACTTTTAACATGCTATGTGAAAAACTCTGTCGACTATAGTTTTGTAACTCCAGCATATGACAAGTACATGTGCTTTTTATTAAACACCCAATTTTCCATTAACGCCCAAAAAATCTACCTAGCTTAAGATCGATAACATATACCGCCCGACAATCATACAAAAATAAAACAATAGCTGCTGATTTGATTGACAGGCCAGCAACCTGCGCTACCTGATACTGTAGTCTGAGTTTGCATGTTTTGAAAGCAATTA